TATACAGCCCTCTACATTTAAGTGATGCGTTTACAAAAGCATAAGGGTCAAGTCCAACACAGTGCAAATGAAAAAAGGAATCTGTCAACTAAAAATAAAAAAATAAAAATTTAAACTGATAAGAACAAATGCCTATCCTGGATCCTAGTCAAGAATCAATAAAACTAAAAATCTGGAGCACCATAAAAACTAGAGCAATTCCATACATGTAATGTTTATTTTTTCCTCCTACATGTGCAAAACAAAAGGCCTTATTATCTACTGTTAAAAATAACCAGCCCTTCTATTTCATTTCTCATGACAAAGACACATGAAAATCTTCTCTTTGGAATGCTTCCACCCTGAGGGAGAATCTCTCTTGTCAATTGTGTCAGACCTCAAACCTTAGCTTAGACAGAGATTCTTGTCAGCATCCCCCATCCTACATACACTTAAGAAGGGGGCTAAACACTGCTAAAATCTCCTAGGAGGTGCAGTTGGTGACCAGTGATTGTTACTAACAGTGGATATTAAAAACTGGGCGTTTCAGCACAATATCAGGATGATAAAAGATGCTCCATTTGCCTGGTGGGTCCATCATGTATGCCAGACCCAGGGACGGCTTCCCTGAATGTGCTACACACAGAGTTCAATGTGTGCAAACAGTAGTAACCCGGCTGTTGAAATCACACAAACATTCAAATGCCTCGTTAAGCTTGAATATAGGATTCAAGCCACGATGATGAAATAAGAGGATGTCTGAGGCTAGGAGAAACAATTTAATTCCAAAGTAAAATATTGAAGGCCCCCTTATCCTTTCTAGCTCATTAAAAAGAGCACTTTGCCCATTAAAAATAACATGTATAGCCTGGCCCAAGCGACTTCATTAGTTGAGCATCATCCTGTGCACGGAAAGTTGCTGGTTGGATTCCCCGCCAGGTCACATATCTGGGTTATGGGTTTGATCCGTAGTCCGGGAGCTTATGGAAGGTAACCAATAAATGTTTCTCAAATCAGTGATCTCCCTCCCTCCCTCCCTCCCTCCCTTTCTCTCTCAACATGTCCTCGGGTGAGGATTAAAAAGAAGAAATACATAACATTTATAAAAAGCCCAAACTAAATGCAACAGATAAACCATTTTATACTCTTTTATGTTATATATTTTTTAATGTGTCAAAGAAACAATAAAATATACTGGTGCCAATCAATCCCCTCTCTGGTTTCCAGCTTTTCTATCATTTGTACCTCAAAGAGTCCTGTGTAAAATATCCCTAGGGTTGTAACTCCATTAAGGATAATGAAGGTAATGAATAAAAATATTCAGTTATAATTAAACGTTAGAGCTAGAAGGAATCTCTAAGGTTAGGACATCCTACACAATCCTTCCTTACTCCCACCCTTACCCCCAAGACACAAACTGGAATCACTTTGCTAAGGTTCCAGAGACATTTAATAGCATAAACAGAAAAAAGCCCTTCTTTCTTTTACAAACATCAATGTCCTAGGTATGTATTTTAAAACATCTAAATAGCCATGGGCTAAGCAGAGAGAGTGAAATATAAAAACAGCCAAAGAGATTTACCAATATGAGGTCTCAGTTTTCCAGAGGTAGAAGCCCACCATGGTACAAGGTTCGTGTGATCTAAAGATGACAGAGCTAAAGTGCTCTGGCTGGGAATTCCCTGGAAAAGGGAAGAAACATATCTCCCAAGATCCGAATTAGCCAACATTAGCAGTAGAATTAGCAAACCAACAAGGAGAAAGGCAAACAAGGATATCTGGGCTCATTTATGAAAATCTTGTGATGCCTTAAAATGCTGTTCACATTCACCAGTTGGCAGTTAGAGATAAACTGTTTAAAGGTACATCCTAATGGCCTCTGAGAAGATTACAACCAAATGGATTTTTTACTAAGCTGGAGCCTTGAATCATTTATGTAATTTATTGATTGGCTGCTACTTTCATTTTTGTTTATATGGTGAGCTGAAACAAACAAACCAAAAAAAAAATCACCCAACTTTTTCTTTATACAAATTCTTATTTTAATAACCCTTCACAGCAAGACATAAATCTGGCAGGGCCACCTGAGCCCTAATGAGTGATTTTACTGCAAGATGTAAGATATTAGGGTAATCAATTCCTTCTGTCAAGCCACAGATGTATCAACTATCAGTTTAAGACTTTTTATTAGATGTTTATCAGCTTTTTTCTTCTTTAAAAAAAATAGTTTTTAAAAACTATAACAAGCACACACAGAAAGTGCCACTCTGCAGCTGGTATGCTTTAATCTTTACTTGAGATCATGCTTAGAGAGAGGAAGAGAGAGAGAGAGAGGAAGAGAGAGAGAGAGAGAGAGAGAGAGAGAGAGAGAGAGAAACATTGATGTGAGAGAGAAGCATGATCAGTTGACTTCCGAATGTGCTGCAACCTGGGTATCTGCATATTAATATATACTACAATATCTACAAATAAATAAAGAGATGTCTGAAAATATATACAAGACAAGAGTAATAGTGGGAAAAACTCATAGACACAGACAATAGTGTGTTGATTACCAAAGAGAAATGGGGGATGGGGAGGTAGAAAAGGGAAAAGGAGCAATAAATGGTTATGAAAGGAAACTTGACTTGGGGTGGTGAACATATAACACAATATACACATGATGCATGATGGAGCTGTACAACTAAAATCTATATAATTGTATTAACCAATGTCACCCAATAAATGCAATAAAAATGAAATTAAGTTATTGTAAAAGGAGTAATAGTCATTATCTTTGTTGGTGACATGATGGATGGTTTTTCAATTTCTTCATACATTCATGCATTACCAAAATTTTTTCAATGAGTATGCTATCCTATAATCGTAAGCAAAAATAATTAAAAGTATTTTATTATGAAAAAGAGAAGTAATACATGCTTATTGTATATATTTTTCCCACTTAACATTTTACTACATTAATTCTTCAAAATATAACTTTTAAAGCTATTCAATATTCCATTACACTGATCTCCCAATTTTATCATTTCTCTTCTAGGAGGCTTAAGGACTGTTTCTAGTTTCTTATTGTTAAAAACAACAACAGTGCGATAGATTCCTTCTATTGTACATGAATCTTTACATGCCCTTCTGGTTATGCCCAATAGCTGGAACTCCAGTTATGCAGTTACTGGATAAAAGAGTCAGGGATTCTAGAATGCCAAAAAATTGCTGTCCTAAGACCCTATGAATTCATGTCCCCTCATTAGAGTATGTGTGAGAGACCATTTCACTCTGTCCCTGAGAATTTGCCAAAGCTGTGTTCACATGCCACGCTCCATAAATCAAACAAGTAACCAAAACAGACTAACTTCATATAACAACACATCAAGGCACAATCAAGCTGACTTCACACCAGTCTTCGACTTTGCACAATTTAACATGTATGGGCCTTACTCCTCTTCATTTTCCTTCACCTTTTGAAAGTTCAAACTTCTCAGCCTGTCAATCAAAACCCACCTCTTTTCACCTTGTTCCTCTGGCTCCAGCCACTCTTGCCTCCTTGCTGTTCCTCAAACACATTTCACACCCCTCTGCCCAAAGGCTCTTGCCTAGATCCACAGGACTCACCCTCCCACTGTCGTCAGCTCTTTGCTCAGAAGTCCCCACTCCCCACCAACACTGTGCGAATTAGCAGCCCCCTTCTCCAGCCTCCCTGTCTATTGATTTGATCTGTTTTTCTCCAGCACTGACACAGGATTTTTAAAAAATTATTTTCCAATTTTCTGAAATTAAAAAAAAAAAATCCTCCAAGGCACTGCCATCCCAATTCGTACAAACTATAACTCTGTCTCCTTATCATTACAGGAACCAAGATCAGTGCTAGCACCACTTATTTCTAAGCCCTTCCTCCTGCAATTGTTACACTGATGTCTTCTCCATGTTGGCCTCCGCCCAGGGGAATGCCCACAGTCCAGTGCGGCTCATGGAGGAGCTCCGGCCACCCTGCCCTCTCTGTGCAGTAACCTTCTGCCAAGCCTGCTGCTCTTTGCGCCCTCCTTTTCTCCTTCCCAGCAACCAGGCTCCGTGTCCTCTAGGGCAGCCAAGTCAACAAAGTTACGTATAAACACAATCAGATAATTCCCACGAAGGGGTGTGTAATTCCGTAAGTAACTGTGAGAAAAGCAAATTCTTGGGGTTTCTAACTGGAAAAAAAGAAAGATATAAAAATAAATGTTTGGCTTGTGTTTTTAAGACATTTCCATTCCATGTATTTCTTCAAATTTTTGTCATCTCTTTTCTTTTGTCTTAGTCTTTCCGCCTGAAAAGTCTTATTATAGCTTGCCATTATCTAAGAAGCATCTGTCTCCCTTGTGTTTGTCATTCCATTCAGCACTGACCTCCTCCCTCTGAACAGCAAAGGATGCCTCCTTCTGACACTCCTCCTCCCCAAGCAAGTGTTTTTCTACCTCGGTGAGTCTCCATTTCATATTGGGTGTCAGCCTCTCCTTCAAAATGTATTTGAAAGCTGCCTTTCCACATGTCACTTCCACAGCTTGTTTCCCATGGGAAAGAGGCATCAGATCTGTGCACTCGGTCCTGTGTAAAACGCTGGCTTTTAGATGTCATTACACACTTACGTTATTTTCAGGAGTAACCACTTGGAGACAGAAAATATCTTTTCAAAAAAGACAACCTTGGTGTTGTTTCTCTCTCTCTCTCTCATTATAATAGACAATGCAATGTGCTTTCTTTCTTGTGTTGTATACACAGACTTTTTCATGGCTGCAATGAACTAAAAACATCTTTAATTTCATTTTTCCTTGAAAGGTAAAATAAAGGCAGCGAACTGTTAAAGAACCATATGTAACAACCTGTGCCATTTTGATGGTGGGGTAAATTATTTTTAAAACAAACAATGGTACTTTTCTGCATTCTACACCAAAGCTTCCTGAGGTGCACTCAGCTGCTCACTGCCACGTGATATATGAAATATTCCCTCAGAATGAAAACCTTCCTCATGTCCATGAAAGATTACTCACCAGACTTCTTTGCTTTCAAAGCAATGACAGCTGCTAGCTCTCTCTGCACCTAATAAAATAGTAAGAAAAACATCAATTAGAGTAAGAAAAATGTAGATACCAAAAATGGTACTTTGTTTTTGTATATATATGCAACCCAAATTCAGAGCTATAGCAATCAGAGCTAAATATGCTGCCACTTTTGGGGTTTTTTGTTTGATTTTAATAATGTGGAAAAACCTCTGCATAGAAATTTTAAGCTAAAAAGCTGAATCATAGTGATCTATTTTAAAAAGAAATTAGATGGTTGCCAGAATGCATGTATCATGAAACATTGGTATTTTTGCTAAACTTACTATGGGAAGAACTTCAAATATATAATTATCAAACACTCATAAATAATTCAAAGAACGAATGATTTAAAAAAGGCATATTTGTTGGCAAAGATAGAACTATTATTTATCTCTCAAAGATTCTAGTTTATACAAAAATTCTACAACAATGAAGAAGGGTGACCCTGGTTTAACAAGACCTCTGCCAAAACACAATAAATGCTCATTTGAAATCTGACAAACAGCAAACAGTTCAGAAAATATGCCACATAAAAGCAAGTGCTACCAAGTCACAAGGTAGGTATAGTGGGGATAGACAAGACAAACTTAAAAGTCCTAAGTGCCGTAACACCCCCCTTACTTGTCCAGATTTTTGCTTGCTCATGCTCTGTCTCTCAAACCCACATATTCGAGCGCTTAAATCCTTTCCTGAAAGCCTTCCAGAAGAGACAAAAAAAAAAAAAAAAAAAAAAAAAGACAAAAAAAAAGTTAACTACAATCACTTTCAAAGAAAAAAAAGTAAGGAAGATTAACTTTCGGAAATTTGTGTTGGGCAGCAATTAAATATTCCATAACAAGAAAGCGCATGCCCCTACAGGACACAGTCTTTGAAGCTTAGAAGTGTGTGTGTCTTCAGGTGTGTGGATGTAGAGGAGGAGGAGGAGGAGGAGGCAGTGGAGGTAGTGGTGAGTTTGGAAGGGTTCTGATAATGAGTTTTAAAGGGAGAACATGGAAGTTTAAGGTTAAAGATTTGCTGTTGGGATTAGTTTAATCTGTATTTATTTACTTGTAGGTAAAAGTAGCACAATAGGCTAGACCCTGGGACTCCACCTAGAGACCAGGTTCATGGTGGCCAGGGCATCCTCACCCCAGAAGACAGCAGCTTCTGTGGCACTGCTCTGCGGCCTTGCTTTCCCTGGCTGGCAAGACCCAGTGCCATTCAAAAGGGCATCCTCTTTATCATGCTAAGTGAAATGAGTCAATCCGAAAAAGACAGGTATCACATGTGGGATCTAAGTAACAAAATAAACTGATGAACGGAGTGGAGGCATGGAACAGGATGTGGAATCTCAGAGGAAAGGCAGGAGAGGGTGGGAGGGTGGGAGGTAATCAATCAAAGACCTTGTAAGCATAGATGCATAACCCATGGACATAAACAATAGGGTGCTGAAGGCCTGGGACAGGGGTGGGCTCGAGGGGGTCAATGAGGGGAAAAGGAGGATATATGTAATACTTTCAACAAAAAAGAACTATTTTTTTTTTTAAGAAAAGGATATACTCTTGATTTAGCTGATTCTTTGATGCCTTAAAACTCTCTTAGAAACTTATACTGTAACTAGAGGCCTGGAGCATGAAAATCATGCATGGGTGGAGTCCCTAGGCTTGGCTGGCGATCAGGGCTGATCAGGTTCCCTGCCTCCCCACCTCATCCTTCCCTCGCTTTCTCAGCCCCTGCCACTGCCGCAGGTCACCCTCCATGTTCTGCGCCTCCCCCTGATGGTCAGTGCATGTCACAGCGAGTGGTCGAACTCCCAGTCTCCAGGTCAAACTCCCGAGGGGACACTTCGCATATTGGCCTTTTATATATATAGATGAGAAGACAATCAGTCCTTCTCCAACCTTGGAAGACTGAGCTCTGAAAATGCTCACAGTAGGAAAATATTCAGTTCAAGGCTGTCCAGAGAAAAAGAGGGCTGGGGGAGACAAATGATTCATGGCCATAGAAAAACCTTGCAGGTAGTCAAATGAAAAACAACTGGGGGAGAATCAATAAAATATTCATCATTTGCTGGGCCGATGTGGTTCAGTGATTGAATTTTGAACCAGTAGGTCAAGGTTCGATTCCCAATCAGGGCACATGCCCAGAATTTGGGCTAGATTCCCAGTGGGGGTGTACAGCAGGCAACTGATTGATGATTCTCTCTCATCATTGAGTTTTCTACCTCTCTTTCTCCCTTCCTCTCTGAAATAAAAACAACTGAACAAAACGTACATTATTATATATTTTATATTTTAAAGGTGTTAATAAGTTTTAATATAGCATCACCATCTCTTTTCAGGATTGTGCCCCTTCACAATGCCACAGATATTTGGGGGTGGGGCCAAAATATAGACCATAAACATAAACATACTCTTGAGATCTTGTCAATGCTCAACGATTTTATGCCTCCCCCCACCCCCTGGAAGATCCCACCATGGCTCAGCGAACGAAGGGAAGCAGGAGTGGGAAATGATGCTTGTGGGTTGCTGCATTTGCTTACAGAGGACCAAAGTCCATGCCTGACATTCTCTTCATTGGATTTCAGCTTTTCTTTCTCTAACTGCGAGTAAGGTGCGAAATAGAACTAGCTCAGAAAAGTATTATATTTCTACCACTGAATGACATGACATCTTCTCATGGATTTGGTGGGGAAAGAAAGGAGGAGTGGGAGCAAGAAGCCAATCTAGCATTTGAGGGGGAATTGGGAAGGTGATGAGAAGGGTCAGTGAGGACGGACTGCACAAGTCAATTTAGAAGGAACCTACAATTTTTTTCTTTTTTTTGAAACATGAAGTAAATGAGATCACTTTAGACACTGAATGCCCTGCATGTCCGCAGTCTGGGAGGGTGCAAGAGTGTTGTTTTTGCAGAGTGGGGTGTAGACTAGCTTCCACTACCCCAGGATGGAAAAGGTTTTTAGACAAAACCTCAGAGGTAGGTTATTCTCCAGACAAAACAAACAATCTGGTACTGATCAAGCAAAATCACCAATGAACTATGAGTTCCTATAGCCTCTTCCCAGCACTTCCTTTCTTCTAGCTACTGGCCATCATTTCATCATTTCCAATTGTGTGAGTAAGGCCTGTCTTCTAGATGCAGGGACCTGCCTATTCTTTTATGGTGGAGCCCAGGGCAAGCAACATACATTCCCCGGGCCCACAGGAGGCGATGCACAGCCAGCCTTAAAAGGGCATGGGAGAATGTAGGGGAGAGAAAAAGCTGCCCCAGGGAGGAAAATGAAAATCAGAGGAGAAGACCTATGTTTGCTCTTGCAAATATCTGTATAGTGGATAATTAAAGGACTAGTCAGAAAATTCCCTTCTCCCCTGGTAACCCATGGGAAACATGTTGAATTGTTTGGATTTTCTATCTTCCATAACCAGCAGGGCTGTGCACAAATAGTCCTGAAATTTAACAGGCACAAGAGCCTATCTTATTTCTAGCTTTCTGTCTTCTCTTCTCTCTGGTACTTCGATAGTGCCTCCAGCCTCTACACCTGAAGGCCCGCAAAACTGTTCTGTGTTAACACCAAGATTCAAGAGGCAACAGAAAGAGTCAAATGCAGACCCTGGGTGCCAGGAAGGACCTCTGTGGGAAAGGCCAACTGAGAAGACTCGAGCAGGCCTCAAGGAGCAAGAGGCCCTAGAAAACCAAGTGAGAGGCTAGAGAGAATGCAGGTCATTTTGGGGAGGACAGACCATTACTTAGCTAACTAAAGCACTGTCTTTATAAATCAGTTTTGAATAGAATCACCAATTCACACATTTCCTAAAGGTTTTTAGGAAATCTATTAACTTAGTAAACATTTACATGTTTTGTACCATGATAGAAATGTTTTAAAACATAGAACTGCCGAAACCGGTTTGGCTCAGTGGTAGAGCGTTGGTCTGCAGACTGAAAGTTCCTAGGTTCGATTCCGATTAGGGGCATGTACGTTGGTTGCGGGCACATTCCCAGTAGGAGGTATGCAGGAGGCAGCTGGTCGTTGTTTCTCTCTCATAGATGTTTCTAACTCTATATCCCTCTCCCTTCCTCTCTGTAAAAAAGTCAATAAAATATATTTTAAAAACAAACAAACAAACAAACAAAAACCATAGAACTTATTTTCTAATTTCTTGCATTAAATATAAGAAGGAACACAACCCAGTGTTCTCCCCCGTTTTATTCCCAAATAGACTTACTCTTAAACCTCTATAAAATTTTAAGTTAGTAAGGAATTTAACCACTCTAGGAAAAACACTCAAATAAATATGCTTCTTAAAGTCATCAGCACACTTGCACATAAGATACAAACTGAGCAGTGATGTTGGCTAGACTCTTGTCCTATGAATACCCATTGGCCAAGCAGCAGTTTTCTTTGTTCCGCAGAAGCCTGTTTTCCTATTTCCAAGTTCATTATTTTGTTGAAGAGATAATGTTGCCACCAATCTGACACATAGATAATGCTGCAATACCTGTTCATGTCAACCAATAATTGGAAAATTAAGGAAGATATATAAATATCTGTCTAGACACCACTGTTCTCCACCTCATAGTTTATTTAACAAATTGCTGTTTCCCCAGTAATTGCTGTCACTACATCAAAGGCGTGCTTGTTTAGCATGCTGCAAAGACAAAATATGCTTGTGCTTAAGCAAATATATCAAGACTGGGGATATTTTAAAAATATTTTCATTAGTTTTATTGTTGTCACTGTTAAAACCTCCTATATAAACTTGTTTTGAATACATACAGATATTCCTATCAATTTTACTAAAAACATTGCTGTCTGTTCTAAGTAATCCAATTTCCATTGTTAACTCATACTGTGCTTGTGATCACAAGTATGAGTTAACAATGGAAATTGGATTACTTAGAACGGACAGCAATGTTTTCAGTAAAACTATCAGATCTTTTTTTTTTTTTTAATATATATTTTTTTGATTTTTATACAGAGAGGAAGGGAGAGAGATAGAGAGTTAGAAACATCGATGGGAG